TTGAGTGCAATATTACCAAAATAAAAAGAAAGCATAACAGTAATAAGATCTAGTTGCTTGTTTTGCATCCCTGACAGCCCCGGTCGTTGATCACTATGAAGCACCTCACCATGCAAACACTTGACTTTGGGTTTCCTTGGCAATAAGCAAGCTAAATCCTGCTCCACTTCTTCTTCAGGTGGAAGTGAGTCAGCTGAGCTGTTGTGTGAATCGCCCCCGTCCTCATGCTTTGTCTGAGCTCATTGTAGAGTAGAGAGGGAACCAGAGCAAAGATGAAACACAGAGACAAACGACAGTCTGCTGTCATCAACAGCAACGTCCCGCTTCAGGCAAAACACTCGCTGGCACCGGAACGGAAGCATCTTTTCATTCATTCAGCCACGAAAACACAAATGTTTTCCAGTAATGCCTGAGCTCGCATGAAACAAAAGCTGCGGTCGAGTCTGGAGATAACATAAACTCTGCTTATGTCCTCGTTGGAAGGATGGGAAATACATCAGACCGTTCTCTGTTCAGCAGCTGATTCATTTACTGTGTTTCTCTTTTGGTCTGCAGCACTGTTACATATTTCACAGCAGCTTTTGGCAATTACTAAAGCAGAGTCAAAGATGAAAAATGCATGGACTAACTAACAGCACTTGTAGATGTTTTGGTCAAAACTTAAATGATGCTACACTGAGTATGTGTGTTGAACGACTCTCAGCTACTACCACATGAAATTTTAGCTCCACGCCTGTCAAATTAGCAGTTGTGGCCGTTCTTGTTGTCCAACAATGAAGGTCATCTTGACTCCCCAAGTTATTCAGTTGTGGAGGTCTATCCAGTGATCCCTTTCCGAATGCTTCAAGGTCTGTCCAGTGGTCCATGAGATATTTTGCTAACAGGATTGACTTTAACAGTTAATGCCACATGTTTCAATAAAGATTCTGCTCAGTATGTAAGACTTGGAGTATGTCTTGTGGTTGCATCTGTAAACTTGTCTGAACTACAGCCATTTTGTCTATAAGGTCAGTTGTCTGTGGTAGCCATCTTGAATTAGACTGGCTCTAAATGTTAATCAGTTGTAGATGGACATCCAATGATTACTTTCTGACATATTTTGGTTCCCCATACACACAGACACAGGCAAAAACAACAAACTATTAAAGAAGCACATCAGAATGTTAAAATCAGCCTTCCTCCACCAGTTTAACAAAAACACAACACCTAATGATATCTAGATAAAAATGCTGAAATAATGCGTCTGATCCATCCAACACTACAGACTGCAGGCGTACTCATCTCATGGATTTATTTCAATAACAGGATGGATGTGTTTGACTGAACATGATCAATTTGGACCGTTTTAGAAGAATCATAAGCAGAGACAGGGTCATTCTTGGCGAGATGAAAACAAACGGTGAAATGTTTGTGTCTGAAACATGCTGCTTGTGTCTTAACAGCACCGTGCTGCAACAAAACACCTGACTCCGTGGACTCAGTCAGCAGAAAATGCAGAGTCACCATGGCAACAGAAGCAAGCAACACACTTTGAGGATGGAGCCGGAGGACAATTCTCCATCGTATCATCACGTCATCCGTCACAGTCTGAAAAGCGGTGATTAAAATGTGAGAAGAGAGAGAGAGAAATGAAAACAGTAACAAACCGTGTGTTCCTTCCGGTTTTGAGCATCTCAAGCCGTCACAGGTCACGTTGGAGCTTCTTATGTAACTGATTCACCAAATCAGATGGCAATTAAAACATATGATCACCATCAAAGGGTTAAGAATATGGATTCATTTCTTAACTCCTTTATACCAGTCAAGCCAACTTCAAGTGTTTTTACTCCTTAAAGTTGCATAACGCTTCAGTCTTCTTATAATATCTGGAAATAGTGCGCAGAGGTTTTTATTTGATTTTTTTTCTCCCTCATGGAACATAAGGTGCAAATATAGTGACCAGTCTGGATATCAGCTCCTACCTGTGCGCAGATTGAAGGATAGCCGGGTTTCTACGAGGTATGGGATGTCGCTCTTGGAGCGGAGTCTCCTGATGGGTCTGCGGTCTGTGCTGCTGGCCGGAGTGGTCGCCATCAATTAGAGCCAGAGTCCAGAAAGATGACTGCTGGCAGACTGGGACAGAAACACAAGCAGCCGGCCACACGCAGGCTGGGAGGCATCTATGATGAAGGGGGAGGAGGCACACACACACACACACGGAGGAGGGAGAGAGAGGCGTTGGTGGCATGTGTTGTGGATGTAAAAGGAAAAACTCTAAGGATGGGGGATTGAATATTTTTTCTCACAATAAAATAAAATGTTTGATTTCACAGATAGATTGAAACTCACCTGATTTATTAAATCCATTAAGATAAGGCTATAATTAACACTGCACACTCCCACACAAGAAAACAAGAGCAAAAAACAAGAATGAAATGAACAGATGATACATGTGGGTTTGTATATTTTAGTTTAGAGCTTTAAAAAAAAAACACAAAATGACAAAAGATATGCATCTAACCTAACTGTTTTTTTGACATAATCTTAAACTTTTGACACCACGTTTGCTCATCACTAGTCTAATACAGTGGTACCCAACACTAGTCCTTGAGGAACGCCATCCTGCATGGTTTAGTTGCTTCTCTGCTCCAGCACACCTGATTTGAATGAATTAGTGATTAACAGGCTCCTGTAGAACTTGAGGAATTAAATAAATTACTGAATCAGGTGTGCTGGAGCAGAAAAACAACTAAAACATGCAGAATGGCGTTCCTCAGGGACCAGGGTTGGGAACCAATGGAATGCATGGAACAACTCACGACAATGGTGAGATCTTTTAAAAATAAAAGTACAGTAGTGTGCATTTAAATGCTGGATCAATCCACAGCACTGTGTAAAAGTGTTAAACCACCTCTACACACTGAAAACCACTAGGTTATTTTGATAACTTGGAGATGTTGGCTTGGTATAGTTTTTCAGCTCCTCTCTTCTTCCGGGTTTGACACAGTGCGTGAACGTGCACAAAGAATGCATAATTGTTTTTACACCCCACACTTTTCCTGACGCAACCACAGATCACCAAGCAGTCCACATGTGTGGAGCAGAGGGTGGAGCAGAGGGCTGCCATCCAAGTCATCCGGGGAACAGCTGGGCGGCTGAAGGGCTTTTGCTCAAGTGCCCTAAGTGAAGCTAGTGCTGGTGCCTCTTGAAAATGAGTCCTTGTGGCTCAATGACACTAAACTGTATAAATAAAGGTTGAATGATGAAGGCAGGTGGAGGTGCTTCACCTTTCCCAGACAGATTTTTGTTGTTTGTCTGGGGCCTTCAGACAATAAACTTGCTTTTTCTAACCTCCTCATCACCACTCATTCCTGGTTAGTTTGACCAAATTTTAGGTCAAAGAGTTCATCCAGGTTAGCAACCGAGCCATTCTTCACAGTCCACAATTCTTAGCCAGATGTTGACCAAACTCAGCCTGAATCTCTTCTTTAGGAAGTAATAAGTAAAATGAGAAGGTAAAAACAACTTGTTTAACCTGGCTGACTTTGGAAATAAGTTTTTGTTTTCAACCCAGCAAGTTTGAGTGTGTAACTTTCAAGGAGCCAATGTTTCTTCTGTAATATTTCTTCTATTGTTCTGGAAATATTTCAACAATTTTATTTGGATTTTGGCAGATTTTTGTGCATTTTATTGATCCCATCATGTCAGTATGCTCAGACAGAAACCAAACGAGAAACGGTCAGCTAAAAGTATTGTGAAGTGTGCACACATCCTATTACATAAAAGAACAAAAATAATTGTCTTTAATAAACTAATATGTTTTATTTGCAGTAAAATTATACACATTGCAATCAACTGTAAAGCATAAATATGTGATAAAGAGAACAAAGTATGAAAGCACACTATTATTACCTAAACAAGAATATACAATCAAATTTTAACAGGTTGCATTTTTAACACATTTAAATATACATAAAAAACAAAGTAACTTTTATCATACTAATAAAACATTTAAATTAGGACATATTTAAATTATCATGTACTTTAGTTGGTCTGCTAAACACGGTATGCTTAAAATTAAACTTCACTACAAATTGTGGACAACTAAATACACTTAATGCACAATAAATAAATGAATGAAAACATCACACTTTAATTTAACTTACCTAATCTTAGATATGTTTGAATCATATAAGTGATTAATCTGACTGTGAGTACACTAAAGTGTGTTGAAATGTACCGTACTTAGCACATTTATTATTCACTGAGAAAAATGGACACGTCAAGGACAAAAAAATGTGTCAAGCAAAAACAATTTTTTGTCAATGAAGGGTATCTAAAAGGCATGTATTTATAAAAATGGAAAAAATAACTATAAATCCAGCAAAGCCCAGCACATAAGAGATGCATCGTACTTTGGTCGACCTTCGTTTGGCTGTTTTCAGTGGACGGCTCAGCAAGTCATCCTCCTCGCACTATGTCCTTTGTGCTCTCTGTTCTCACTACAACTACCTCCATGTCCTCTCTCTCTATATATATATCCCCTTTTTGGGCTTTCCTTGTCTTTTTCCTGGCAGCTGCATTACTAACATCCTTCCATCAATGTGCCTCTGTTCCCCTTGCCCCTGCCAATCTCCATCACCTTTGGTTAAGTGCCTCACATTGTTTGAGAGACCTCTGTTCCATACTTGACACTGTGTAGTTTATCAGTCAAAAGACTGACTTTTGTCAACACATTTTTATATTTTACAAGACATTGAACAATGTTGCATGCACTGCTGGAATATTTTTAAAGCAAAAGCTAATTTTGGACTAATTAAAGCGGAAAAATATATAGAATCATTTTATTATTTTCAAAGTCTATCTATAAATAAATAAATATGAAAACTGATGATTTATCACTGTCAGAGTGAACATCTCAAATCAGCAGTAGTTGCAGCAAACCACCGCTAGAGGGAGCGCCTGAATCACACTGTCGGCTTTACGACACTGAGGCTGGTTTACGGCTTCCCTTGTTATTTACACACACCTAGGTAAACAAGAGCGTCGTGTGGCTTTTTTGTTCACTCAAGAATGAATACTGCTTATCAAGGTAAGTTTAATAAAGCACTAAGTGTAAGTTCGTTTAAAAACGCTTGCGTCTAAATGGTTTCGAGTTGAAGCAATGTAAAAAATACACAATGTGGGGGCTGCTGATAGTTCCTGTTTATATTGCACAGCGAGGGCTAATGCATGCACCCAACTTCAGTCACGTACTTCACGACTACAATGCAACACTTTGGGTGAGTGTTGCTACTGGACGAGGATGGTGAAATATAGTTTTTTTAATGAAGGATGTAAAATTACCACTTAAATATTTTTGCAGAAAACCTGCTAGTCTGGTTTGCCTCGGAGATTAAGGGAGGTGTAATCCTTGTTTAGGAAAGGATAGGCGTCCTGTGTTAAACGTGTCAGCAGACATGGCTTTGTTTCCGTTTCTTTTTTCGTCTTTTTTATAGTTTGACATTAAGAAGCTCTACTTTTAGAAGTCGACTGCTGGCTGAATGCACATTCCTGGGCTTATTATCAGTGCAGAGAAGCCCAGACTGTTTTCAGAGCAATGTTGTAACTACAGTCTATGTTTGCACACAGTCATTGTGTGTTTTTGCAGCCATATCTCGTTCTTTTTTATATTTTAATCTTAGTGCAACACAGGAGCGATTCTAGAACCTGATCTTTAGGGGCACATAGCCCCCAGTGCTGACAATGGCTTTTGGCTTGAACAATGTGGTGGCCATTGGCGTTAGAAGCATTCATGATGTCGGGGGTACACACAGGTGAGGGGGGTCTGGGGGTCCTCCCCCAGAAAATTTTGAATAAAGTGGATGCCTTTTCCTGCATTCTGGTGTATTTTAACAGGTTGTTAAACATCTACGTTTACCTACAAGTAAACACTTGATTCAGTCACTATTTTAGAGAGCTCAGCACAGCAAGAAGTAGCGCCAAGCTAAGATGCTACAGACGTAGCGTAAATGTGTTTTTGTTGCATTGAATCATAAATGCAATAAACTAAACCCAACGCCCAAACCCAGAACTGTAAAAATTATTTTTAATAAAAAATAAATAAAAAAAAGCTAAAATCACTACTGGTGCAATATTCTGTAATTTATGATAAAAAGCACATTTAAAAAATATGGTTTTAAACATAACATTAATGTGCATTGTAATGTTAGCGTTTATCAGACATCACTGGTTTCTCATGTTTGTATATTTTGTCTTTTTTTTTTCTTTCTGAAATGTAATGTCTTGTATTTGGATTGTTTAAAATGTATGAGATTTTGTGATGTAATGCATGACATCTTCATTTTTAAGATTACAGTTCTAAGCAACAACAAAGAAGTTCTCATCTGTAGTTTTTGAGTACATTGTTCTAGTTTAACATGCTTAAAATAAACTTTTAGAACTATATACATGAAAACAACTGCTCACCTGAAACTTTATGGTGATTTTTTTTTATTCTTTAACACATTTTTTTGCGTGTTTTTATCTTCTAGTGACAAGGCTTCTCAAAAACCGAGCTGTCATTTCACTTGGTTTTCGCATGGGCTCCACACATGTGACAACGGGACCACTGGCTGACCCCGGAAGACCCAGTACAGGTAAAAATAAATAAATATATTATTTTGCTGCATTAAAGCAAATTAGAACCATGATAATCTGTTCTTCCTGTCAGACACTTTATAAAAATATTTTATTCACTGTAGTGTTAAAGAGTGATGTACAGATATATTTCTGTGCATGGATATGAGTAAGGATCCTGTAAAGTAAGTCAACTTTATTTATATAGTACTGTTCATAGATAAAATCACAAAGTGCTTTACAGAAATACAAAATACATGCTTAAAATAAAGCAAACGCAAGAACAGCTGATAAAAGCAGTAAATCAAATATTTAACTAAAAGCTTGTCTGAATAAAAGTTTTACCGTAAATAATAATTAAGGAGACACACATTAGTATGTCCTGACTAACATAATCACACATAAAGAAGGGATGTTGTGATAATTGGTCAACAAGTGCTTGGTTGTATGTAAATTACTTACAAACTTTACTTCTGCCTTATTACATCCTGTTTGAAGTCAATAATAACAGAGAAATTGCATTTTCTGCAAAAATGCAGTGTGAGGGCTTTTTGCTGAAGAACTTGCTGAACAACAGCTGAAATTAGCCATAAAAAAAATCTGAAATGTAGCTGAAAAGGAAGAACAAGCCTTGATTAGCAGTAGGAAAATAGCTGACAAAAGGCTGAAATTAGCAACAAAAATGAAGCTGAAAAGGCAGAAAGAAGCTTAAACTACCAGAAGAAAGTGGAAATAGCTGAAATGAGTGCCAAAAATATGGAATTAGCTGAAAAGGCTAATATTAGCACGAAACAGCTAAATAGTAGCTGAAATAGCAGAAAAAAGATGAAGCTTTCAGAACTAAGCTGAAAGGAGCACAACAAGCTGAAATTAACAGAAAGAAGTTAGAAGAAGCACAAAAATGTTGTAGTTAGCAGAAATAATCTGAAAGGAGAACAACACAGCTGAACTTAGCTGGAAGTAGCTGAAAAAAATGTTTAAATTTGCACAAGGAAGCTGAAAGAAGCTGAACCAGAACAAAATGTGAAAGGAGCTGTAAAAGGATGTAGACAGATCTAAAGCTCTGAAGGATGTAAAATGAGCTCAATTCATTTTCTACGAGGGAAAAAAATGTTAGAAAAGTCTAAATATTTCCTAAAGTTAAAGTTGCCCCGATACCAAAAGTCATAGCACCCTTCTTCTGAAAGAGCTGAACGTTTTGATATGATTTGTTGAAATAGCTTGATATTGTTTGAAATTTGACAATAACTAGTAATTATTGTCAATTTAGAAAGAAATGTTGAATTTGTTTTGCATGTAGTACCTTTTTTGACCACCAGATGGCAGTGTAAGAATGTTCAAACCGAAGGTTGGATAGTGAGGGAGCGAGCAGCGTGCCTGAGAAAAATGGGAGGGAGGCCTCTTGAAGAGACATGGGCTGTCTCTCTTCACTTCTCAGAATGGTGGACGCTCGGTGTGGTTTGAGCTCTTTAGCATAGCATTTTTCATACAAAGCTTTTGATAAAAAAAATCAGAAAACAAGTTCTCAGCTTCTTTTTGCAGAGACAAACAACTTTTTACACAAAGGCACGGGTTTCAACTGTGAATTCAACAAGATGGAGGTTTTTTCTCGAGGTCGGCCTTTTAGCTTAGTTTGTAGCTTAGGTTCTCAGTTTAGCTGCTTTTAACGATCCAACACAATTTTGGATCATTAAAATTGATTTTAAAGAGAAAAGACAAATGTGGGGTCAGTGAAGAACACCAGAGTTGAGCTTTTTGTCATCCAGTATCTTCAGTAGAAAGAGAGACACGACGAAACGATAAAGCCGATAAATGAAAATGAGGTCCTTAATTTTCACTTATCATGCGATTAATTGATTTATTGTTTATTGCGACAGGCCTACTGATCAACATACAGAAGAAAAATGAATCACAATAGTGTGAATACTTGATGAACATTCACACTATAATCAATCAATCTTAAGCTTAGCCTCATTATAGCACATTTGCTGTTCTTCCTGACTGACGCTTCCGTGGAGCTTACGTCAGTAGAAATGTCCTTTGTCTCCTCATTCTAAAGCAGATGCTGAAACATTAGTTCTTTTGTTATTTTCAGACATGTCTGCTTTTCGCGAGACCTTCTCCAAAGCCAAGCACATAGCAATCATCACCGGAGCGGGTGTGAGTGCTGAGAGCGGAGTACCAACTTTTAGAGCAGAACACGAGAGGTGGAGGAAGTGGCAGTCTCAGGTATATTTAGAAAGAATCTGTTTGTGCTGACATCTTTAATATGTTTCTATTTCTCTTGACTAAAATTAATGCATCTAAATAAATAAATAAATAAAAAAAACCTAAATGAAGTAATAAAACAACATAGTCTGACATTAAAGCGTGAATTCAAAGCTTTATTTTTGCCTTTGTAAATGATTCCTCAGGATCTCGCAACTCCAGAAGCCTTCTCTCGCACCCCGTCCCGGGTCTGGGAGTTCTACCATTACAGGAGGGAGCTTGTGTTGGACAAGAAGCCCAGCGCTGTTCATTTGGCCATAGCCGAGTGTGAAGCGCGGCTGAAGGAGCAGGGGCGCTCCGTGGTCGTCATCACGCAGTGCATAGACGACCTGCACCTACAGGCCGGGTCCAAACACGTGCTCCAGATCCACGGTGAGAGTTGGATAGGTTGAAGTTGTTGAAGCTGACTCTCAGGCAGAGCTGCAGGTTTCAGCTTCTGTGGTTGTCGTCACACAAACAAAAGTTTTCTGAAGGCCGCTGTGTTTTTTTAAATTATTTTTTTGTGTGCCTTCAGGCAGTCTGATGGAGACGCGCTGCGTGATTTGTAGGCAAGTGACCGTGAACAAGCGAAGCCCCATATGTGCTGCCTTAAAGGGCACAGGGTAGGCATCTCTTCATGAACATCAGCTCTGAAACATTTAGAACTTGTATTTTCATCGCTTCAGTTTGATCCGGTCACGAGCGAAGTTTCTAACCCTCTATATGTGTCCTGGTAACGTTCAGAGCGCCTGGTTTAAATGTTCCCGATGCCCAGATTCCAGTGGACAAACTGCCACGGTGAGACTACTTTAACTTCTTTTTATTAATAATAGACAGATTTTTAAAGCATCTAGTTCTGTTTTTCACACTCCCACTGGAGAACTTCAAAAGGCCTGAAAAAAGCTGTAAATTCATCAAATTCACTGAAGCAGTTCCTCCACTAGAGGGCAGTGTTGTATCATGGGGGCTGAATTAACTGAAGACGAGTTTGGGTGACTGAGATAATATCTGTAGTTATTTTACTTTATGATTATTTTGTCATATATTCAGCATGATGAGATGTTTGTACTTTATCAAGGTGTGATGAGAGGGACTGCCACGGTCTGCTCAGGCCCAATGTGGTCTTTTTCGGGGAGACTCTGGACTCCCATCTCCTGACCATGGTGGAAAAAGAAATAGAAACCTGTGACCTCTGTCTGGTGGTGAGTTATCCTCATGACGCTTGTTCCTCCTGTGTAAATACGTTGTATTTTTCTTCAACTTGTCAAGGACCTGACCTGAAAAGCACAGATTTAGGGAGAGATCTGAAGCTGACACTGGGGTTGTTGCTCCCCCTGTTGTTTACTTGTAGGTGGGGACGTCTTCTATTGTTTACCCAGCAGCCATGTTTGGCCCCCGGGTTGCAGCCAGAGGCGTTCCAGTGGCAGAGTTTAACACAAATACAACTCCAAAAACCGAGTATTTCATGTAAGTTAGTGAAACAATCACGAGTCTATAAAAAATGGTGAGAAAATACTTTTTGAATTAGGCCTGTTGTGATGAACAATAAATCAATTAATCGCATGATAAATGAAAATTATCTACTTTCATTTTTCGGCTTTATCGTTTCTTCGTGTCTCTCTCTACTGAAGACACTGGATGACAAAAAGCTCAACTCCGGTGCTCTTCACTGACCCCTCCCTTTCGTTTTTCTCTTTAAAATCCATTTAACATCCAAAATTGTGTTTTTGGATCGTAAAAAGCAGCTAAACTGAAAAGCTAAGCTCCGAACTAAGCTAACAGGCCGACCTCGGGGGGGGGGGGGGGACTCCATCTTGTCGAAGCTCCAAAATTCATGGTTGAAACCCATGCCTTCGTGTAAAAAGTTGTTTTTCTCTGCAAAAAGAAACTGAGGACTTCTTTACTGATTTTTTTTCTTAAAAGCTTTGTGTGAAAAATGCTATGCTAAAGAGCTCAAACCACACAGAGCATCCGCCATTTTGAAAACCGAAGAGAGACAGCCCATGTCACGTCAAGGTGCCTCCCTTTTTCTTAAACACACTGCTCGCTCCCTCACTATCCATCCTTCGGTTCAAACAGTCTTACACTGCCATCCGGTGGTCGCAAAATGGTACTACACACAAAACAATATAACCAACATTTCTTCTTAAATTTGACAATAATTACTAACTATTGTCAAATTTCAAACAATATTATCGTTTATCGCAATAATTTCTGAGACAATTAATCGCCCAGCAAAATTTGTTATTGTGACAGGCCTAATTTGAATGCATTTATAAAGTTAAATTCTGTTAACAAAGAGGCACAATCCTTGTAAAATAATAACTTGTTGTTTTCTTGTAACACAGGTACCATTTCCAGGGTCCGTGTGGAGCAACGCTGCCTCAAGCTTTGGCACCACACGAGTCAGAAAACATCTAGACTAATCTTTTTTTTTTTTTAACACAGTTTCATATAATCTAAAGCTGGGAGATTTAATTATTTTCTAAAAATTGAAACGTACAAAAAATGAGCAACTTCTTTTTTTTTCATGTTGAGATAGATCTCTTTATACTTGAATATCTAGCTTACTAACTGGAATGAACTGCTTAGGCATTAAGCAGGAAATATGCATTGATAAAAGAAAGGGGATGCACAATGCATATAATTGTTAGCATAGAAAAAGATTTTCCTCCTTCAGAGCAGAAGTTAGAAACTTGTTTTAGAGACGTTATCCTCTAAAACGATGCTGTTAAAAAGAACAACATACTACTTCATCTTTCTATCCAATCACCACATTTACAGACGTGATCTTGTGCCTTTTCCAAACTTTTTTACTCCATCCTAACCAAACGTTTTTACGAGTCCAAATCAGTGTTACAGAAATTTAGGTAAACGGTCAATTTACTAAAAAGGGGGCAGAAGAAAAATCAGCATAATTTACTGCTTGAGTTGTTAGAGGACATGGATTATTCATGAGACAAATGTTAAAACTATTATTCAGTGTTTGTTTTCTAACACATTTCTTAATGAGGTTGGAGGTTTTCTAAAAAAAAAAAAAAAAATGAACGCAGTTTGTTAAAAAAAAATTGGATTGACAGTTTCATTGTCTGCAGACACTATGCAGTTGTTTCTCATGTGTTCCTGTAACTCTGCCAATCCATTTATAAACAGCAGAACTAATAAAACACTTCCTGGATACATGCTGATATTGTGTTATTGTGCATATTGAAAGAATTTATACACGTTTGTTTTATTGGTCCACAATGCAGGATTTCATCCTTTACATTTATTGTCCACAGCCGACAGGCAAAGGTAGAGTAATATCTGTCCGGATGTGCCTGTTTATACTAAAATGTCTTGTGAACCACTGGAAATTTGAATGAAACTTGGAGAGAACGTCATTAATCATGCATCTACAACTTTTGAAAATGGCCGCCACATTAGCCAACACACAAATGGCTGTAACTTTGACAACTGTGCAGCTTTTGGGCTAAAACTTGATGTGGAAGTAGCCAAGATTAATTTTTTTCTGAGCGTGACATCTTGAAATGGATTGCATGTGATTGCCTGTCACGTTTTCAAGGTTTGACCAAAACAGCTAACATTTTATAATTTCTCACTTTATTTTTCGAGCTTTAAGGCGCAGTTAAAATCTTTTAATTTCCTCAAAAATCGACAGTGAGCCTTTTGATCAGATGTACCTTATGTATTAATTCTGGTTGTGCTTACTGACCTCAACAGATTTTATGTAGTTATTGTGAATGAGTTGAATAAAGTTTGATTTATCTGACTGTTTTGTTTCACGTAATGCACCTTATAGTCCGAAAAATGCAGTACTCTTCGTTTAACGCTGACATAAAAAGCAGCAGGCGATGTTCTTTCCTTCGAGGAACTTTAGGCCTTTTGATTCCAAAAGGAACAGTAGATGTCAGTGTGTAGCTTTCTTTCATGCTCCGAGAGGGACACACAAAGCGACACTGTGTCCATTCAAATTATTTATTAGTATGCACAAGCGTGACAAAATGTAGTTTTGTGTGCATTTATTCCATCTGCGCATGCATGTTGGTGTTACGGCTGAGGAAATCTATCTACCTTCAATGTATCGCTACTAAAAATGGAAACAGTTTGAAGTGGAAAGGAATACTTCTAATCTCATGCAGGGATCTTGATAATTGTATTATAATAATGCAAATGTGTTGCTTCTTTCAAATGAATGTAGACAGTGTCCATGGAGGGGACTTTATTATTTTTAAAGCTCAGCCACAGAAAGATGTTTCGACCTGAACATACTAATCATCAGTTAAGTTTGGCCACTGGCTTTGACCAGTTCTGCCAATGATTGTTTTGATTACTATTATTTAGAAGAAAAAAAACTACAATCTAAAGGATTGCTCATGAGTATCTTCCTGATAATTTCCTTTACTGTTTGTAGAAGCTGAATGTCTTCAATACGCACCTTCATTGGCTGATATGACCACCATTAAGTCATTCACTAAATAAAAAAAATATTTATAAGTCATTCAGCCTTGGAAAGTTTGTCTCATTGGACGATATAATTCAAATGAAGCAGTTTTCCATGAGCTGCCTGGATGTTTTGAAAGGGCGAGCGGTGCTCAGATGCAGGTAACATGCTCACTGTCTCACGGGAGTCTCTTTGAGTTGGTTCATTTCATGGTCACTGTCGTCGTAGCTCTCTCATGATAAATATTTTAGCTGCAGCAACACATAGGTGGACAGCACTCAGACTGACGGCACTAAAATTAAACCTGCAATAAAGTGTCTCCATCTGTCACTCCATGTCATTACCATAAGTAGGTTTACTAATTTGCTTTATCTAATACTTCCTTAAAGGAGAGGCGAGGCCGACTTCCATTTGTCATCTGAAATGCACAAGGGGAGGCAGATAAACCCCCTCAGCTCTCCAGTTTAGTCTGATTTGAGTAGAAAAGTCTATTTCTAACTCCAGGAGCGTCTTCCCTGTGTGTGTGAGAAAGAGTATAAAATCGTAGAAGTGGAAAATTTCTTGTCAGATTCCAAAGTCTTCAGGTTAACAGACTATAAATAACCCTTCCTCTCCGAATGAGGAGACAGAATTGAAATTAAATATTTGTGGATCCTTTTTAGTATAAAGATATTTTTAATACATACATGAAGTGCTTAACAGAGATAAACTAAACACATAGGATCATGTAGTCGTTGAGAAAAATAATCTAAAAATACACGTTTGTGAACAAAAAAGTACACGCACAAAAAAAAAAAAAAAAAACTCCAGGATTTATAGTAAATTTAAAAGTCAAATTTGAGTGAAGTGATGTCAATCAAAAGTAAAGTCCAGTTCATAGCAAAGAAGGGACTTTGAACATAAATTAAACTAAATATGTCACAAACGTTCTGTAAAAAAGAGCTCTCGTTGCTAAAAGTCATTCTGTTCAATTAGGTTCACTCTGCCTCAGCCTTTGGTTTAGTTTTGGGCAAAGTTGTTTATTAACGCTAAAGTTATTAGTTATTAGCATTAGTGGAATAGAAATTCGTTCATTCATTCAACCTTTATTTATACAGGTAGTTTCATTGAGCCACGAGGACTCATTTACAAGAGAGACCTGATTTAAACAAAGAACACGGATGAGGTACAGACAACAATAGACAATCGTGTAAAAAAGCATATGAAATAAAAAGTAAATAGAAGAAAATATGTAAAAAAAAATTTAAACAAAAGCAGCTACATTATAAAGTGTTGTAAAATATTAGAAACATGAACATGTCTGCATTGGTTGTTGCCACAAATTTGTTTAAAATCCCTTAGAGAGGTCACGGTTGAGATCTTCCGATCTTTTTGCAGGATAGTCCAGGAAGGAGTAGGAGAAGGCCCTTTGGCCTAGTTCAGTCCTCACTGAGGGAACACTGCAGGTAATAATGTCCTGAGAGCGCACGCAGAGACATGTAGGAGGAGATGTAAGAAGGTAGCAGACCAAGAAGTGATTTAAAGATGAAAATGTACCAGTGAGAGAGTCTGCGTGACGTTAACGATGACCAGTTAACCAGTGAATACAGGGTGCAGTGGTGGGTACAATAGTTACAACCAGTTATGAATCTTAGTGCACCGTGATAGGCAGCATCCAACATCTGCAGGGTTCTTGTAGGAGCCGTCATGTAAATGATGTCACAATAGTCAATGGAGGGAAGGAAAGTCACAGTCACAAGGCGTTTCCTAGCATTCAGAATTAGACAGGATCTGTTTCTGAAAATAAACCCAATTTAACTTCCAATTTCTTTACCAAGTTTTTGACATGAGGCTTAAAAGAGAGATGCGAATCAACCAAGATACCCAAGTATTTGGAAGAATCGACAAACTCAATAGGGACACCATTCAAAGGTAAAAAAGAAGGAAGGACTGCTGGTACCAACTTCCTGTTTGAAAACAACATCCCTTTGGTTTTAAAAGCATTTTGAGACAGAACAAGTCTGACTGGATGATGTTGAATGCAGACTGTAAAAGCTGAAAAACCTTAGCAACTGGTTTAGCTCGACAATGAACAACTGTGTCGTCGGCATAGAAATGTAAGGATGCATCAGGAATGATCTGATCTACATTACTCATGTAGATTGTGAAGAGGGTGGGTCCCAAGACTGAGCCTTGTGGTACACCATTGTTAACTGTTAAATAACTGGAAGAAGTACACATTGTCTTTGATCTGAACGATAGTTAGAAAATCAACCAACAGTGTGATCTGAGAAACCAATTTCTGAGAGCTGATGACTTAAGATGTCATGATCCACAGTGTCAAAAGCTTTAGACAGGTCTAAGTAAAGTAATCCTTAACAGCCAATGCTTCAACAACATCATTAAAAACATTCAGCGATAATACCTAAATAAATACCAAATTTTTGAATGTAATCAAATTGAGGGGATCTTAAGTGTTGAAGATAAAGAATAATGTAAGCTGTGAATGTTTTGTTTTTCTCACGTCCCAGTTATGGAAAGATACAGAGAAGTGGACAAACTTTCCAACACCACAGTAACTCAATTGGCTTCATGGTTTTTATTTTTAGTCTTCTTATACTTCCAACTGAATTGCTCATGTGTATTTTGTTATATCATGGATAGAAGACCTAAAGTGGTTTTCAGTTACAACTTGAAGTCTGAAATTGTGTTTTTCCTGTACGAGTGTGATTCTGTTTTCTGTGCAGAAAGGCAGAAATGTCAGACCAAGGGTAAACCAAGGAGCTGTGAATTTTATTAGAAGCTTTACAGTAACATAATGTCAACATGTATTCGGCTAAACCTGGTTCATTTTGCCATCTTGAGAATCGAATACAGTATACTTTTTTTCCCCCCAGTGTTTACAGAATTAAAAGCCCAATTCAAGTTCTTTTTTTAAGGTACTTTGAGAAGTCTTGTCTGTGTGAAGGTTAATATGTTGCAATGCCATTCTCATGTATTTAGATGGCGTGAAGGTGTTTTTATCTCCTCTTTTATTTTTAACCATGGGTATGATCTTGCTATCATGCAGTCATCCATTACCGCTGTCCTCTGCAGGCCGCCAGATATTTTTAGAAAGCTGCACTTACATTTCTCACAACATATAGTAATTTAGCCACTTTGAATGCTCCGTCATTTCTTCAACAACACAATGAGCATCCAGAAGTCTATTTTCTTTACCTGCTTGTTATTGTACAATGTCATAGGGAGCAGGTGCCTTTTTCCCAGCAGATATTAGACAAGAGGCGCACCCTGAACAGGCTGCTGGTACATCAAACATAGAGACAGTCAATAATTCAATTTTACACTCATACTTAGGGATAATTCAAAGGTACCAACTAACCTGACATGAATGTTTTTGGACTGTGGGAGGAAACTGGGGAGCCAGAAGGAAAAATAAGTTATGCAAGCATGAGGGGAACATGCACAATCCACACATAAAGGCCCCAGGCTGGAGTTGAACCTTTGATCTTTTTACTACAGGGAAACGGTGCTAATAAAATTCCAAACTTTGATAAGCCAGGTTTCATTAGCTTGGACCAAAGAATGCAGACTGCACACAGGATCTCAAATAAAACTGAAAAGCTTTATTAACTAAGAAAAACAAAAGGTTGTCACGACAGTGTAGCATTTGCAAGGACATGCGATGCACCAGACATCACATGAGAGCAACAATGATCCACTGAAAGGGCATGGAGTCAGACAGGCTTCATGGACTGATGATGATGAAGTAATGAGGAACAGCTGAGCTGAGTGAAGAATGGGAGCAGGTGAGTGTGGGTGTGGCAGAACTGATATACACCAGGGGTGTCAAACTCGCTTACAAAAGGGGGCCTAAATTAAATCTTTTTTCAAAATAAGGGCCAATTTGAAAACCACACTAACTCAAATCAGATATCCAGCATATTTTCTTGGTCACAGGTTCCTCAACAAGAGTTTGGTTGGTCTCATTTGATGTTCTCTGTTGTGCTTTCAACATCATAATCAAAGATTACTGAAAAAAAAAGCGATATAAGTATGTTACGTTTCACATATCATCTTGGGGGCCAGATAAAATATAAACAAGGGCCACATTTGGCCCCCGTTCATTGAGTTTGACACATATGATCTACACTTTGGGAGAGTAACTGGTCAAAATGAAAAAAAATAAACACAAGTAAAATACATAAAGGAATCAACCAAAATTTAAAA